CTGTCTTCAAAGCCAGGGACCTGGCAGTGGTTCTGAAAGCCGGGCAGAGCCTCCATGCCATGGCTTGGCATGGAACTCAAAGGCTCAATTAGCAACATCTGCTCTTGTGGGCTGTAAAACCCTCTCGCTGCTCCCCTCCCTTGCTCGGAGCGCTCACAGCTGGGAGCAGCATGGGGCTGCAGCCAGCCCGGCCAGGGGAGCTGTGCCCCTGGCTCACAGCTGTCATAGCTTGCTGTGCCACCTCTGCCACTGTGCCACCTCTGCCACCACTCTCCAAACCCCGTGGATCCATGGTCTGACGGCAGCCGAGTGTGAGGGACAAGGAGTGAGCTCTTCTCTCTGGTAACCAGGGAATGGCTGGAGCTGTGTCAGGGAGGGTTAGGTTGGATATTGGGAAAAGGTTCTTCCCCTAGAAGGTGGTCAGGCACCAAACAGGGAAGGGTCTGGAGAGCCTGGAGTGGCTGGGAGTGCTCAGCCTGGAGAAAAGAAGGCTCAGAGGGGACCTTCTCCAACCTCCCTAACAGGAGGGAGTAGCTGGGGGGTGTCAGGCTCTGCTCCCAGGGAACAGGGACAGGATGAGAGGAAACAGATTCAAGCTGTGCCAGGGAAGGTTCAGGCTGGACATCACGAGGAATTTCTCCACAGAAAGGGTGCTCAGGCATTGGAAGGAGCTGCCCAGGAAGGTGATGGGTTTCTCATCCCTGGAAGTGTCAAAGGAAGGACTGGAAGTGGCACTCAGTCCTCTGGGCTTGTTGACCAGATGGAGATCGGTCAAAGGTTGGACTTGATGACCTTGGAAGTCCTTTCCAACCTCAGTGATCCCACGACTGTATGAAAACCAGCCCATGCCCTGGAGGCTGGCTGAGAGCCCCCGCCAGCACCCATTGTTCGGGAGCTGAAGCAATCGGAGCCCTTTCCCGAGGAGCCTGGCGGGCCGGGCAGGCTGTCCCGGGAGGGCTGTCCCGGGAGAGCCGTATAGCAGCAGGGCTGGACGCTGTTGTCATCGTTCCAAGCGGCGCCACACGAGGCCACCGAGGTCGGGAGGGCACGGAGCCAGCGGGAATGGGATTTGTGAATGGGAGCGGGACGGGCAGGGCTGATGGGACAAAACCATGTGGTACCGCTGGAGAAGGGGTCCCCGAGCCCCCACTTGGAGGCAGCTGTCCCCTCACTGCTGGTGCCAGGAGGGGACAAGGGAGTCCCATGGGCAGCACTGGCAGGGCACTGCTGATGTCTGACACGGCACCAAGTGCTTCTCCGCCTTTCCCAGCCTCATTCCAGGAATGTCCAGTATGTCCACTCCTTCCCCACATTTTGGCCATTAGATCTGATTATCCTTGATTTATTCACTATCTGGGGAGCTCTCAGGGCCTCTCCCTCTGTACGAAGCAATCTCAGCTGCATTCTGGCTGCAGCAAAACATCCCACCCTGGGGACATCCCTTGGGAGAGTCCCCAAAACCCCAGTGCCACCCTCAGCTGGGGGTGTCCCTCAACTCCTGCCTGGGAGCTGGGGGGCAGCAGGGCTTGCTAGGAATGTCACCCCATGACAAACAAAAGGGGTGTGATCACAATCCCATAAAAACACATCATTGAAGCCCTTTGCCAAGGCCAGGCCAAGCCTTGGCTGGAGCAGTGGGAAGTGAGAATACACCTTGTGCTGATGGTGACTTCCTCCCTAGTTATCCCCACCAAGGATCTGCCTCACAGGTAATCAGGGAAACTCCAAATTCCCCAGGGAATATTCCTGAGCACCAAGGCAGAGGCTGGCAGAGCTTCTTCTTCCACCTGAGGAACAAGGACTTGAATGCCAGCCTGGAGTATCTGCTTGGAGTAAGAAAAACATCCATAAATCACATTTCCCTTGGAATACTGGCAGTAAAACATCCATACAACACTGCCCTTAGCACACCAGCAGCAGCAGTAGAGGGAGAGAAGCCAGAGGAGGGCTGAGCAAAGCTGCTCTCTCCTGAAGGGTCATGTGTGAGCCGCTGCTTTGGCAGGGAGTGGGAGGAGCAGATAACGTTTTCCCAGGCAGAGGAAACTCCTGGGTGGAAATAGCGCTGTGCCCTGGAAACGGAGCCGTCAGCAAACAGGGCTGGTGCAGCCTCATCTCAGCAGGTCGTGCTGAGCTGGGCACAGGCTCCGTGCTGGATGAACCTCTCCCAGTGGGAATGGGAGTGATGAGTTCCTGTCACAGCCTGTGGGAGCACAGGGGAGCTGAGGTCAGGGACGGGCAGAGTGTTCCTGCATGGTGGCTCCCTGGACACCCTCTCCATGGCCTCCCTCCTGGTTTCATCCAGCCCCAGGTACAGAAAAGGACCAGGAGTGCTGGGGCAGGAAGAAAGCTGAGTCCTCAGGCTGGGGAGAAAGCTGAAAAAGAGTGGGAACAAGAGGGGCTTTATGGGGACAGACAGGAAATAAGAAAGGAAGGACAGCTGGGCTCAGTGTCCCATAACTAATCGGGAGCACAAGGCTTGGAGGGACTCTGTTGCTGTCTCAGCTCTTCCAAGACCTGGACAGGACAGGACAGTGCTGATCTCCTGCCTGCACCACTCCCCGAGACATGGAGTGATGGGACAAGGGGGAATGGCTTTAAACTAAAGAGAAGGGAAGTTTAGATGGGATATTGGAAAGAGATTGTTCCCGGTGAGGGTGGTGAGGTGCGGAGGCTCTGGCACAGGTTGCTCGGAGAAGCTGGGACTGCCCCTGGATCCCTGGAAGTGTCCAAGGCAAGGCTGGACAGGGCTTGGAGCAACCTGGGCTAGTGGAAGGTGTCCCTGTCCACGGCAGGGGCTTGGGCAAGGTGATGTTTAAAAGTCCCTTCAATCCAAACCATCCAGTGATTCCTCAAATGCTGGTCTGACCCTGTGTGCACAGAGCAGGCACAGACAGTCCTGGGAAAGAAACCCACCCCGGGAACCCCAGACCTGCAGGAACAGCACTCTCAGCTATTCCAGCACCTCCTCCCAGCAGGGCTGTGATGTGCTGGAGGAGCACGAAGGGATGGGGTGGAAGAGCCAGAGGGAAGCAGCTCCTGAGGGAGCCACAGGTATCTGTGCCGCGGCTCAGAGGAGCTGAGCCTCCAGCCTGGGTTGCAGATCCTTACATCACTCCCGGTGATGTTGAACATTTGTTCGTTCCGGCTGTAAAACCTCTCCTGGCTCTGCACCAGGTATTTCCCTCCCTCAGTGCCTCAGCCAGGGCTGAGCTGCTGGAGCGTGAGCAGCTCACACACCATGGCCTTTGTGACTAATGGCACCAGCTGAGGTGGCAGCCCCTCCACGAGAGCCCCTTTCCCACAGGGCTTGCTCTCCTCACGGGTTAGGATGATAAACAGGAGAAGGATAAAGCCTCTGGTGTCTCCCTGTGCCTGCAGGATCCCACTCTCCTGAGGCAGCTTGGGTAACCAGCTCCAGCACCCCATGGCCTTGAAGGAATTGGTTCACTTTGGGACAGAACCTGAGGAAAACCCCAGGAATCAATTTCCACAGCTGGGGTAGTGCCCAAGGCTGAGAATGGCTTTGTGGGTGGAGAAGGAGCCTCCAAGCAGGCTCTGCCCTCTGTTCTGTGTACACTGGGGTTTCATGTCCATAAAATTATGGAATCACTTAAGTAGAAGTGGCTCTCAGAGACTGTTGCGTCCAACCATCACCCCCAGCACCACCAAGGCCATCATTAATCCACATTCCCAAGTGTCACATCCCATGATTTTGACCACTTCCAGTGAGTTCACTGCTTCCCTTGGTGTCTGTTTCAACGCCTGACCATGTTTTCATTGAAGAAATTTTCCTAATATCCCACCTAAACCTCCACTGGTGCAACTTCTAGCTATTTCCTATTCTCCTATCTGTTGTTCCATGGGAGCACAGCCCGACCCCCTGCAGCTGTCCCCTCCTGTCAGGAGTTGTGCAGAGCCACAAGATCCCCCCTGAGCCTCTTTTTCTCCAGGCTGATCCCCCCAGCTCCCTCAGCTGCTCTTCATTTTCCACTCCCAGGGAGCTGATGGTCTCTCAGGGTTTAGCCATGCCAAAAACCCCCTAACAGGGATTTTATTTTCCACTCCCGGGGAGCTGATGGTCTCTCAGGGTTTAGCCATGCCAAAAACCCCCTAACAGGGATTTAGGGACATGAATAAGGGACGTCCCTGGAATCTACTTTTGCTCTCTGGTGATATCTGTCTCCCGGTCCCCCAGAAATGGAATCACTGGGGGCTCTTTGTGGGGCTGAGGGTGTGTGGGCAGTGAGGGGACACAGGCTCTGCTCTCAGGGGACAGCACTGTGCGTGTGGCTGCTGCCGGAGCCCCCAGGGCCCCTCTCTGGGACCTGTTGACACCGGGGATGGGCATGGGACCAGCCCGTGACGGTGAGTGAGGATGAGGATGACGACTCAAGTGAGGGTGAGGATGAGTATGAGGATGAATGTGAAGATGATGGCAAAGTTGAGGTGAGGATGACCGAGGGGGTAAAGTGCCGGCGAGGATGAGGGAAGGGATGAGGAAGAGGCTGAGGGTGAGGGTGCGGATGAGGTGACGGCCAGAGTGGGGGTGAGGACGGGGCTGAGCGCGGAGCTGCCGCCGGGCTGCGGAGGGTGTTGGGGCGCGGGGGTGTCCCGGGCGGGCCGGGCCGGGCCGGGCCGGGCCGGGCCGGGCGGAGCGGAGCTGTCCTTCAGCACCTCGGCAGCGCCGGCCGGGCCGGGCCGCGGCCGTGCCGGTGCCGGCGGAGCGGAGGCAGCGCGCAGGCGCAGCGCTCGCGGCTCCTCAAGGTGTTGGCGGCGCGGCCGAAGATGGCGACAGACTGAGGGCGATGGGGCCGGGCGGCGGCGGCGGCGGGCGCGGCGCGGCCCCGGCACCGCGCCGGGGCAAGCGGAAAGCCGAATG